GTCATCTCTCCGTTCCACAGTTCGACCAGAGCCTCGACAGGAGCACCAGTCTTGTCAGCCGGAAACTCCCCCAGGGCCTTCCGGAATCCATCCGGATCCATCCGGCTCCAGGGGCAGGCCCATACAATCGGGTCCGCACTTTTATAGAGGGAGAGGCTGCTCTCGAGCACAAACCTCACCAGGAGGTGATCTGACCGTGACAGGGGAGTCAAACATAAGTTCTTCACCCTCAGGTCATCCTCTTCCTGCCCCGTCATGAATACCAGGTCCAGAGTGTGTCCACGTTCATGGGTCGGGCCAATGACGTGTTGAGACAGGCCCATGGCCGTCATAGAGGCCATGAAGTCCTGAGCCGCCCCGGTCAGTCCAGACTCGGCATGGAGATTGAAGTCCCCCAGGACCAACATCCTGGGGGTCCTCAACACCAGGTCCGAGACGGTCTCTGTCAGCTCAGACAGGGAGACTGCTGGGCAGGAGGGTGCACGGTACACCAATAGAATCCCCAATCTGTCTCATTTGCCCAACACCAAGTAGAGGCACTCCAGCCCTGGTCTCGAAGGGACCGCAAGACCCGTGAGAGAGATGGAGGCTCGGTAAACCAACGCGACTCCCCCTCCCCTCCCTTCTGGGCGTGAACAGTGTTGAAACAGATGACTCAGAGATTTCTGGGGAGATACCAATGCCGCTGTCCGGTCCAAAATTAATGGATAAATTTCAGTTATTGTGGCCTGATGATGTGGACAAGGTGCTTGGACGAGTACGTCCCACCACTTGCCTATTGGACCCTTGCCCGTCTTGGTTAATAAATAACTCCATGCACGGGATTGGGATCTGGATCTTGGAAGTGGTTAATGCTTCCCTGAGGGAGGGTCGGGTACCTGCCCCTTTAAAGGAGGCGGTAGTCCGACCGGTCCTGAAGAAAGCGTCACTGGATCCAGAGATGGCCACTAATTATAGACCTGTGGCCAACATCCCGTTTCTGGGCAAGGTGTTGGAGCGGGTGGTGGCAGGACAACTGCAAGCTCTCTTGGATGAAACTGATTATCTGGACCCATTTCAGTCTGGCTTCACACCCGGGTACGGTACTGAATCTGCCTTGGTCGCCCTGTACGATGACCTGTGCAGGGAGAAGGACAGG